CGCGCCAACAGTGTTCACCACAACTATTATTCGAGTTTTTTCTCTAGAATTAATAATAAAAACAATAGGCAATAAAAATAATATGAAAAATAATTCCGACATCTGTAGACCATGATCGAATCAGTGGTCCTCTACATATGATGAGCAGCGATCCGATCCGTAAGGGATCGTCATCGTCCTTGCTCGCATTTGCCATCACGTATCCTAGCAGAAGCTAACTAATTGTTGACGAAAGGAGAGTCGCCAAGCTGACGTCCCTTCGTCTCCTTCATCCATAGGAATACGATAACCGCAGACACACCGCACATGATGAAGAAGATCATGTACGATTCCTTGTTGTCCAAATAAGCTGTGACGAACACCATAATAATACCCGCAATCCAGTTGACAGCCGTCGCTGCGCCAGCAGCAGAACCCTTGATCTCAATCGGGTAGATCTCGAACAGATACACCCACAGGATTGGACCGTAAGTGGCGGCGAAGAAGATGATAAACACAATGCAGCCGATAATAGCCAACCACTGCGTCACCTTGGATCCGTCTTCCAAAGCAAGATAGCATATCGCGGCCGGTCCTACCGCTATGGTCATACCCACAGTTCCGATAATCATCAGAGTTCTTCTTCCTAACCTTTCAATCAAGGGCACGGCTGGCAGGGTCATTACACAATTCACAAGGTTCATTATATTCGACATAATAGTCGGCCATTTGCCACTCAGACCCGCGTCCTGGAACAGCTTATTCGAAGACGCGATGAATACATTGATACCGCCGAGCTGCTGGAATGCTGCGAGTAAGCATCCAATAAAAATAACCCAGCGGTAATCAGACCTCGACTTCCAAGCCTGGCCAAGAGTCATGCCAGCTTCCTGAGCCTTCATTGCTTCGTCCACATTCTGTCTAATCTCCGTCAACTCCTCGGTCACGTCCGACTTCTTCGTAATCTTCTTTAATAATTCCTGAGCATCACGAATCTGACCTTTCTCAACGTAGTAGTAGGGCGTCTCAAAGGTATAAACGAACCCGAGAAGATAAGACGTGAAGATCACTGGAATAATACCAATACCCAGCATAACTCTCCACCATACTTTGGCAAACACTTCAATGTCGGGAATAGGACGAACCACCTTCCCGTTTATGTTAACGGCGGGCTGGTCGCTAAGATTGGGAATGGGGCACTTCAAGGCAATCGGCAAACCAATCAGGGTTCCCACAAGGATACCGACGGTCACAAAGAGCTGATGGAACACACCGTACTTCCCTCTAACCGCTGGAGGAGTAATCTCGGACATGTAGCAAGGGCAGCACACAGACACTAACCCCACTGCGTAACCACAGACCAGCCGAGCCCAGAGGAGAGCCGAGAACGAATTGGCGCAACACGACGAGACGATTCCGAACACGAAAACAGCCATCGACAAGAGTATCATACCTCGGCGACCGAAGGCCATGAATACACCGCCAGTCATCGAACCTATAGCCGCTCCAATAAATACAGCAGTAGAGATGAAAGCGTTGTAATTCTTGTATGCAGTACAGTCAGTAACATCTTCAGTGCCGCCTCTCCAATCACACCATTCCAGCTCCCATGCAATGTGGCCAATAGCAGTATTCAGTAACGATATGTTGAATCCGAAGAGGAATGAGCCACAAGCAGCAACAAGAATCAGCTGCATCATGAAGCTAAAGCAGCCACACCAGCATGTCTTGAAAGGACTTGACCAGTCGACCGCGCACTCGCCCTCCGGGTCTTCCAAGGCTTCGTAATTCCGCGTTGGTTCTTCATGCACTATCAAGTGTGAAGAAGACATATCAAAAATTCAGGTAAGAATAATAGTAATCAGCAGCTCTTAACCAAGGCATCTCTGTCTCCCTTGCTAATTGTGGGCGCGACGAATCGGGGCATCAACGAGCACACATTCCTGCTCTCCGCTTCCTTCATTTTAAACTGCCCTTGTCCCCCAAATGCCGCTGTGAGTGCGGTGCGTGGAGCTGAGTGCTGGAAAAACTGGACGTTTCGCGGGTGAAGAATCAACGACCGCCCGAAATCAAGACGGCCCTTTCCCAGCGTCGCGGCCACTGGATCGCGTGTATTGGATCCTGGTTATTGGACACGGCAGGTCATTGGTCTTCTTCTTCTTCTTGCCAGGGGTGTCTGTACTGGGGTTTGCGCGACTTGGGTTTAAAGGGGTCCCCGCTTGCGTCGACGCGCAAAACCATTTCTCGGTCGCAGCAGCCGTCGACGTTGCATAGGGGGAAGCATGCGAAACCGCCCGGTTTGTCAAAGTACCCGGTAGTGTTGAACGTTCCACAGCAACCCTCGGCCTGCTTCTTGACGTAGACTTTCTTTTGGTGTCTGAACACGGGAACGTGCACGTAGTGCGGTAACGTGTGCGCCACTTGCGCCAGTTGCGCTTCATTCACTAAGACACCTACAAGAGTACCGCCGTCAACTTGCGCGTTTGTTGCACGAGCTCGCGCGTGCTGCATTCGTGCAGATTGTGTGCTCCGCGTTGAAGCGAAGAACGTGTGGTCGCGCAAATACCGCGCGATCCATAAAACCTACCCTCTATATGAGACCCGGCGGTGGCCATCAATACCGACTCGGGTGCTGGGGTGGATTGCATGATGGATGCCATGACTCCCTGGCTGTATTGTGGGCCCTGGTTGTATTGGAGTCCCTGGCCGTATTGGGGTCCCTGGTTGTATTGGGGGATATTGTATTGGGAGAGCGTCATATTGTATTGTGGTGGGGCGTCGAGGTTCACTATCATCACGTCCTGTATTTTGAGCCGTGTATTTCAGTGCCCGTATTTCGGCACCTGTATTTCCGTGGTCTTCTATTTCTGATACCCCTAGTTTAGTTTCGACACCACCTTGACAGTTCGGCACGCCTTGACATTTCGACTCCACATAGATAACGTACCATCTACGAATTATGTAACAGATGTTTAACTTACTAAAGGGTAAGAAAAGCGTGACTGATGTTGACGGAATTCCGCCTGAGTTGAGGTCTCTGTTCACCGAGTTCAAAGTGATCGGGGGCGGCACATACGGCACCGTGTATAAAGCCTGCAAGAAAGACGGACATTACGTGGCCCTGAAGAAAATCAAGTTGGCACCCAAAGACGAGATTGTGAGCATGTCACTGCCCGCCACAGCCATGCGGGAAATACTCATTCTGAGGGAGCTGGCCAGCCACCAAAACGTCGTCGCACTGCGGCACGTTTACTTCAAACCTGCCACACTCTCGTTGTGGCTTTGGTTTGACAACTGCCCGCTAGACTTACGGGTACTCATCAAGAACATCTATAAGGCTTCCTCCATAATCAAAGACGCCGCACCAGGACTCGCGTACGGTTCACTACCCTGACGGCCGCATCCCCCTGACGACCGCATCCCTCCTGACGACCGCATCCCTCCTGACGACCGCATCCCCCCTGACGTCCGCCTCCCCCAATGCCAATTACCTTGATACCACACAGGACCCGTACCGCCACTCACCACTCACTACCTTGCCGTGGCTGAATGTTTTATCACTGTATACTCGCGACTTTTCACACCACTCACTGCCTGTACACGTACCTGTACACCTACCCGTACACTCACTATCTGTACCCTGTCTGGTCCCCCCTCCCGTCCCCTTTATTCTGGCCCCGTGAGTCATGCCTATCCATAGCCCCCCCGCCTGAACACGCCGTGACGGTAGGAGTGGGTTGGTCAAGCGGTTTGCTTGGCACTTATTTTGCGGTATGGAGTTTGCCCACAAGCTGAACATTTTGCACCGGGATCTGAAGCCTCAGAACATCTTATTGAATGACTGTACGGACCACCGCGGTGGCCCGGGTGAGCTAGGCGGGGCTTCCGGACGGCGAGTGCGACTCTACGGCGACGGCGAGGGGTCGAGGGCCGAAGGGTCGCGTAGCTCCGAGGATGTGCTGGATGACGCATTGGTTACTGCGTTGAGTCACATGGTTGACCACAATGGCGCGATGATAGGTCCTACTTGCATCGATGTATTGCGGAAGGGCAGTTCAATTACGGCCCAGGTGGCGGACTTTGGACTGGCTCGGTCGCAGAAATTGCAAAGTAAGGTGCTTACCAGGGAGGTGGTCACCCTGTGGTACCGCGCGCCCGAACTGTTGCTGGGCTGTGAGACATACAGCTCGGGCATCGACATGTGGTCCCTCGGTTGCATCTTGGCGGAAATGATGTCGGGCAAGCCGCTGTTTGCGGGCGATTCTGAGGTAGACACGCTCTTCCGCATTTTCAAGCTGCTCGGCACCCCCGCCTCACCCCATGACTTCGGACTGGACCGACTCATATACTTCCAAACCACCTTCCCCAAGTGGGACGTTCAAAACGCCCGCCAGGCCATCACTCGAGCAGTCTACCTCCAACGCGATCCCAACCCCCTCTTTGTGGACCTCGTCGCCAGGTGCCTCACTTACAACCCCGACCTCCGCATATCCTGCACCGAAGCCCTGCAACACCCATTTTTCAACTAGTCTGCAAGTGTGCGAGCCGCTCCAAGCATCTAACCAGTGTCTAGCTGTGTACTAGCACCCACGCGCGCGCACAAGAACTCCATCAAGACTTCATCCACAAGCTAGATCGTTCATCCGCTGACGTTGGTTACGCTTACTAGTCCAGTGCTTACCCTCAGCCCCTCAACTCAGACATTTTTCTTCTGACCATTGGCACATTCATACTGAAAAATATAGCTAACGCCCCCCTCAGTTTTTGATGAACGGAGAGTCGCCAAGCTGACGTCCCTTCGTCTCCTTCATCCATAGGAAAACGATAACCGCAGACACACCGCACATGATGAAGAAGATCATGTACGATTCCTTGTTGTCCAAATAAGCTGTGACGAACACCATAATAATACCCGCAATCCAGTTGACGGCTGTCGCTGCGCCAGCAGCAGAACCCTTGATCTCAATCGGGTAGATCTCGAACAGGTACACCCACAGAACGGGACCGTAAGTGGCGGCGAAGAAGATGATAAACACAATGCAGCCGATGATAGCCAACCACTGCGTCACCTTCGAGCCGTCCTTCAAAGCAAGATAGCATATCGCAGCCGGTCCCACAGCTATGGTCATACCAACAGTTCCAATAATCATAAGAGTCCTTCTTCCCAATCTTTCAATCAAGGGGACAGCTGGCAAGGTCATCACACAGTTCACAAGATTCATGATGTTTGACATGATGGTGGGCCATTTGCCGCTCAGACCCGCGTCCTGGAACAGCTTATTCGAAGACGCGATGAACACATTGATACCGCCGAGCTGCTGGAATGCTGAAAGCAAGCATCCAATAAAAATAACCCAGCGGTAATCAGACCTCGACTTCCAAGCCTGGCCAAGAGTCATGCCAGCTTCCTGAGCCCTCATTGCCTCGTCCACATTCTGTCTAATCTCCGTCAACTCCTCGGTCACGTCCGACTTCTTCGTAATCTTCTTCAGCAATTCCTCTGCATCACGAATCTGACCTTTCTCAACGTAGTAGTAGGGCGTCTCAAAGGTATAAACGAACCCGAGGAGATAAGCCGTAAAAATTACTGGAATAATACCAATACCCAGCATAACTCTCCACCACACCTTGGCAAACACTTCAATGTCGGGAATAGGACGGACCACCTTCCCGTTTATGTTAACGGCGGGTTGGTCGCTAAGACTGGGAATGGGGCACTTCAAGGCAATCGGCAAACCAATCAGGGTTCCGACAAGGATACCGACGGTCACAAAGAGCTGATGGAACACACCGTACTTCCCTCTAACCGCTGGAGGAGTAATCTCGGACATGTAACAAGGACAGCACACGGACACTAACCCAACTGCGTAACCACAGACCAGCCGAGCCCAGAGGAGAGCCGAGAACGAATTGGCACAGCACGACGAGACTATTCCGAACACGAAAACAGCCATCGACAATAGCATCATACCTCGGCGACCGAAGGCCATGAACACACCACCAGTCATCGAACCTATAGCCGCTCCAATAAACACTGCGGTAGAGATAAAAGCGCTGTAATTCTTGTATGCAGTACAGTCGGTGACATCTTCAGTGCCGCCTCTCCAATCACACCATTCCAGCTCCCAGGCAATGTGGCCAATAGCAGTGTTAAGCAGGGATAAATTAAACCCAAACAGAAATGAGCCACAAGCAGCAACAAGGATCAGCTGCATCATGAAGTTAAAGCAGCCACACCAGCAGGTCTTGAAGGGACTGGACCAGTCCACCGTACATTGGTCTTCAGGATCTTCGAGGACTATTCTGTCCTGTGGGATGGCATCTTCCTTCTCGATAACCGACGGGACGGATGTCATCCTCTAAAAATAAATCGTTGCTGAAAAATATTACGTCGTTTTTGTCAGAAACAAAATTCAAAAAGATCTTCTCCGTCTCCCACACACGTGTGCGAATAACCAAACCGGCCGATTTTCGGCAGAATAAACGTCTGCGGCGGGGCTGCTTGTTTCGCAAACGCCGGGTGTGTAGTCGGCGAATTGAATAAAGCCCCAGAAACCACCAGTCATTGTGTTTAACATATTTGTCCCACTTTTACGGCTTGGAGTGCCTGCAAGAAGAACTAGTTGATCGACGAAAAAATGAGGGCGTTTAGACCCATGGGTTCCAGGTCTTCTTCTTCGCCAGAGTACGCGAGCTGAAGGGCGGTGGTCTGAAGCTCCTGGGTGGCCGCGGGAGAAAGGGCCATAAGGTGACTGAGGCGCAAGGCCATGTCCGACTGTTTGAGCCGTAGATACTCGAGGGTGCCTTTCATTCTGCCGATGGAGTCACCCTTTGGCGTCTGGTCGTCTTTGGGTGGATCGTCCTGGAGCGTCCCGTCCCGCTTGGGTGCCGTTTCGCCCGACCGCCAGGACTTGCGGGGCGTGAAAAAGTAGTCGTCCAAGCTTTCCGTCATTCGCCACCGCAGACCTTCATCGGAGCCATCTTGTTGTAAGCGGCTCACTGATGGCAGCACGTGGCACCGCTGTTTGCATATGGGTAGACACTGCATTGTACTGCTGGTGGAGCCGCTGGCTGGAAAATGTTCTGGAGAACCAGCCAGAGTGCTTGTGGCAGGTTCTTCGAGGGCTTCAGAGGTCAGAGACCGAGGTTGGTGAGATAGCCACAAGCCGTCGGCAAGTTCGTACTCGGAGTAGGTGATTACGGCGTTGTAGTACTTCGGCGTTTTCGGCAGCCATTCAGAACTCACCAACGACTGCACCGTGGTAGCTCGTGACTCGGGAGGGGAAGGGTGCAACGTCGGGCCGCGGATGCTGTGAACGCCGCACTTGCCCATGCTACTTCGCCACTTGCTTCTAGACGGGGGCTCGGACTGCTGGTTCAGCTTGGTGTTCTCCTTCGTCTCCTCGTCAGTTTGCTCACCAGAAACCATGGACTTCTTTCCCGTAGTCACTTGACCGAGTGACGCTGGGTTACACAAGGACGACTTCAGGACTCCAGTGGTGGTAGTCAAGCTTATGGACATGTTTTCTCCTTCCGATGAATCCGTGTCGTCCAGCGGCTCAATCTGATAAGCGGTTACCGATTCCTCTCGCTTCAGCGGTTCCTCTCGCCGGTCTTCTCGTGCATCCTCTCGTTGTTTGTCCTGTCCTGTGGCGCTTTGTTCAGAGCAAGCCGCATTTCCTTGCGTATGGGCTGCCGCGCCTGAGAATGTGACAAACGGCACAGGGTCAGGACTGTTTGTTGAGACCCTGACGCGGGACCTCCCGGCAGAAGGTCGCGTGTGGTATCGATTGAGCTGAGGGAAAACGATGTCTTTGCTATGAGCGAAGGACACCTTCTCTGCATTCACTCTCAGGACCTCCACCACTTCGCTCACTCGTCGGACTCCGGGAATCGAGTCCCAACAAATTGCCTGGTTAGCGCACCTTAATTCGTTCAAGGCCTTCAGGTCTACACACGTCCCAGTTGCTCTGCACCGAAGCTCCTCCGGTATCCAAGCCAGGAAGCCTTTGAGCACGAGCGTCTTGGGGTAGAACACAGCTTGCGGCGCCGCCAGCGCCAGCCGGAGGTACATCAGCCTTCTGAGATACTGTCCTTGGACCCAATCCACGAGCTCCACCAGCGACTCGGGCGTTTCGAAGATCATCAGGTCGTAGAGGTAATTGGCGACCACACAGCCGGCCGTGCTCTCCATACCCGGAGTGCCGGGCGGGCAATTGAACAACGTACTCAAAGCCTGCTCCAAGTCAGTCTTGTCTACGACTCCTTCCGGTGGCCGAACCATGGCCAAACTTGCTTGCTTCACCCGTAGGTAGTCGCCATGTATCAGGATGTTGCGTATCTCCTCCGCAGATTCCTTTTGCTCTTTCTGGTCTCGATCTACCGACGGAATTGTCTCGCCATTTTTGTCGGCGCTATTTGGCGCACACGCGTGTTTGTCCACTCCCCTATTCCATTCCAGGCCCTGCTTAAAGCGTCTTGCCCACGTCTTGGCACGGATCTGGCGCAGGACAGAGGGTTTTCTCAGTAAGTAGTCCAAAATCCGTCTGCACGAGAGGCTGTCGCAAAAAATGTCGGCGCTGCAATCGACGGCAATGGCGTTGGAAGTAGCAACCTGCTTAGGGGGACTCCTCCTGAGGACGCGCAAAATAACCTCAATAGCCAGCAAGGGATGGGCAACCTCAAACAGCGCCGCGCGGAGCTTTGTGACCCTTGGCTCATGGACAATCATGTGAGAACTAATTCTCCTTTCGCGGTCCATCATCGCCAACCGTTTCTGCTCCTTGACACGCTCGAGCCCTCCAAGCCAAAGATTATAGATCGAAGTAGAGTCGTCACCCGATGTCCCGATTCGAATCAACTGAGGGCCGGCCACTTGCCCGTCCCCCTCCAGTTCCGGCCTTCCAATTTCCGGCCTCCCAATCTCCGGCCTTGCAATTCCAATTTCGGGCGAGCAAAGGCCGAATGAGGCAGAGTCTAGGCCGTTGCGCAAGTTGGCGCTGGCAATAAGACATTCGTGGACGTACCACCGGTTCCCGAGGAGGTTGTTTTCGGCTACGATGTTCTGATGGCTGGAATGAGTCAGAACAGGGCCGACCCAAATGCTGGCTCCAATAATGTTGCCTTTGGAGAGATGAAGAACGAGTTTGTGAGCTAAGTTGGCCGAGGCCCGTGGTGCCCGGACTCGAGGTGTCTCGAATCGATCAACGCTGCTGCCCGGGACGATCGACTTCCGCAACTCTGCCAGCCAACTGTCTTCCCGCGGATTGTAGCTCGAAGATGAAGACGACGACTGACTGCACCGTGACTGACTTACCGTGTTCGCTGCGGCCGGTACTTCGAGCACACCTGAACACCGCCGATCCTCCGCCTCTGACCCCTCGCGCGGCGCAGATCGGTGGGTAGCCACACGGGGGGCACTAGACCGTTGCCCTTCGACGGGCATAACAGTCGGCAGCGCTGGCCGAGTTCCTGACCGTCCGGTCAGCGGCAACAGAACCTCCCCAGTCCTCAAATCAATACTGTTCCTTTGGTCGACGCTGTTCCTTTGGCTGGGGCTGTTCCTTTGGCTGGAGCTCTTTTGGTCCTGGCTATTTCTCTTGTCATGGAGCCAGAAGAAGTGAGGGCAGAGGCCGTGTGTACTGTCCAAGCCCAGTTCTGCGTTTCGCTGGAAGAGCTGCCACGTATCCGCGATCAGGTTGTCGCCGCTGGAGAAGAGGAGTAGCGCCATCACCACGATGTTGAAGGGTTTGCTGCACCCGTACAAAGACGAGAGCTCCAGCTCAATGCTTTCTTCGGAGGGGATCTCGCTGAACTCCGAAAGGGTCCAGGCCGCAGTGAAGTCCGTGACCAGCTCAATCTGGTTGTGCAGCGGGGTCGGCAGCGGCATCGGGAGCGCACTGAAGCGGTCGTCCGGCGACCCAATGACGGCCTCGGGCAGGAAACAACTCTTGGGGGAGCCAGTGCCCAACTCTCCGCTGCCCTCGGAAGTGCGCGTTTGAATCATTCCCAGAGCCACGTTCAGAGTGATGCGGCAGGGCAAGAGGGTGCAGGCGGTAAGTTCCAGCTTCTTCATGAGTTTCAAAGGACAGCCAGGTCCGAGCAGGTACGGCGGGATAGCACACGGATCGATAATCAGAATATCCGGTTTCCAGAACGACGGAGGCGACAAACATTTCCTCAAAATGTCCGCACCCCGACCGACCAACTCATCGTCGTCCTTGGAGCCACTCACCGGCAGCGACACCAACTGGTCGTCTGCCACTTGGTCTTTAGTGCCGAGCACTCCGAGGGCGGCCAGCTTTGCCGCGGCAGCTTCGCTAGGCGACGAAGACGGCGACCGTGCCGCCGACTCCGTACTCCCAGCCGTCGCCGCAGACTTGGCTCCAGGCACGGACTTGGTTCCTGGCGGGAACTCCTTGCAGGTCTTCTTACGGGAAGCCGGGGAGAGAGACCGCAGTCGCTGCGTAAGTAAAGAGTGCTTCCGGTGCCCCGAGCTGACGGGGACGCGTTCAGGGGTCGGCGCCGTGCCGTTGAGGATGGTGTCCGGCGAGATGAATCGGAGGTTGCAGCCCGGGGTCAAATTTGCCGACAAGATCTGATCAATTTGCAGGCTGTTCGTGGTGACCACGGTAGCGTATTTGCAGCGCTGAGCCACGACTGCGACCGGCAGAAGCGAGTCTCCTCCGATTATCAACACAGACTCTTCGGCTTGCGTCCCGAGTGCCAGACAGGTGTTGAGTACACACTCACTCATCGCTTGCGCCAATCCGCTGTCAAAGACGTTGAGCACACGTGTGGGGAAGTTCACCAGCCGCTGCAGCTTCAAGAACTCCCGGACGATCACTTTGGGCTTGGTCGCCGCTTCGTCACCACCCGGGGCTTCTTCCTTCGCTGGGACGTAATTGCGCCAGTCGACGGCTAGGGGCGTCTTGGCGGTACTGCCGGTCGCGGCTAGACTGACCGACGGCCGATAAGTTTCCCCCGACAACTGAGCCTTAAGGTAGGCCTTCTGCTCTTCGTTCAAGGAGCTCGAAAATTCCAACTCGGTCGCCTGGCTGCTCTGTTCTCGAGCTTCTTCTTCTTGAAGCATTTGTGCCAGCTGGTCAAATCGTCGATAGTCGATCGCATACCGCTCAATCCTCTTTTTCTGACGCAGCCTACCATCCACCACTGCAATTTCCCGGTCGAATTCCTTAATAGCCGCCTTGGCTTCCGCTGACACCGGTGGACAGGCTGATGCGGAGGAGACTTGTACACTGCTCTGCGTTTCCCCTGCCTTGCTGATAACAGATGGTCTTCTCAAGCCCGTTCCCGCCCTCTTGAATTCGCCCATTACCCTCCCTTTACTTTCGTCCCTACAAGTCCCATCTCGGTTACTACCGTCGGGATTGTTACCTGGAGGGCCCAAGCTGTTGTGTTGTGTAACCAGTTCCTTGCTTCTTTTCAAGGCTGCCAGGGCCGCCTCAAGTTTGCCGAGCTCCATCAGCGCCTTCGAAGCCCTAAACCACCCCTTTGGCCAGTCAGGTGCGAGTGCGATGCATTTTACCGCATCGGAATAGGAGTGAAGAATTTGACCGTTCTTGTAGAAACAGATGGAGCGATTACTGTACAATTTTGCCCGTTCAAAACTGTTCCGGACTATCACGATGCAACCCGTGTACGAGTCGATGGCTTTCGAGTAATTCCCTTGATGGAAGGCGTCGTCGGCAAGACTCTTGACCTGACTGAAGATTCCTCGTACGATCTCGGGATCATAATGCCGGTGCAACTGCTCGGAGAAGTCTCCGTCACTAATGGACCCAGTCAGTAGCTGGTTAAGAAGAATCTCTATGTCATTAGATGAGGTCATATTTTAAAAAACGGTATCCTTCATCCCGCAAGCGTACTCAGTGAAACGCTGACCCCAACCCTCTATGGCAGTTGCTTCCCTCAACTGACTCGCTCCTAAGCGACTAGCTCCTCCTGAATGACTGGCTCCTTCTAAGTAGCTGGTTCCCAAGTGACTGGAAGCATTACACAAGGCGGTATTATCCACGGCGGGGTTATCCACAGCGCAGCCAGAAGAAGGAAGGTGGGATCCAGAGGGGTGACAACCGGAGGAAGACGGGTGCCAGAAAAAATGGAGCCCATCACTACTGGCGGACGAGGGCGATCCGAGACTCTCCTTCAACAACGAACTGTCAAGCGTCGAGGAGTTCTTGGTGGTGGTGTTACTGTTCCTCAAAAGGGTGCCGGACGGTGACTTTGAAACTTCCCGCTCCATGTCGTCTTCGAGCCGTCCGAAAGGGTTCATCTGGCCGTATGCGGACGTAAAAGGGTTAAACATGAACTCCGCGGGTGCCCTAAAAGGATTGGCGTCCTCTGCAGCACTAGCCGGGGGGTCGTCCACTTCTTTGGGGGTGGGTGATCTGGTGGCATTATCCTTGAGACACCGTTTTAGCAGGCAATTTATGGTTTCCTCGTCGTGATTCCTGAACTCCTCATCCAAGGGAAATGCAATGGGGAATTCAGTGGAATAGTCCAGAGGGCTGTATCCGGCTTTCCGGAGATTCTTGGGTTCAGCTTTAAATTCAGTCTTGTTTGTAGACAAATGCGTCTTATAACCGCGTGACTGGAACGCACTCGAGGACGGGTCGGGGTGGTGCGCACTCGTGTGCTGCGCACTCGCGTGCTGCGCATTAGCGTGGGCGGCTTGTGCGTTATTGTACTGTGCATTGAGGTGCGCATTAGTGAATGCGTTAGTGTACTGTGCGATGGGCGCGTTTTGCGGGTTGGCGAAGGCGTATCGATCGGCGTGGTCGAATTGTTCCAGGTTGTGGTCTTTGGCCCCACAGGCGGACTTGGCCATGCTGACGAAGACGACGCGTCCGCATAGAGTTTGTTGCGGTTCGGCGGCGGCTCGGACGGCGCTGTCCTGTTTGGCGTAGGTGATGAAGGCGAAGCCCTTGGAGACGCCGTTGGGGCCGTAGACGACGGCGCAGTCTTCGATGGGGCCATAGTGACTGAAGTAGGCGCGGAGGGCGTCTGCGTCACAATGGAGACCGAGGTTGCGAACAAAGATCTTACGGCGCGAACAGCGGCCCTGTACAGGCACACCGTCCACCATAAATTCGCTGAAAGGGTCCGCGGCCACCTTTACGAAGAGCTTGCGTCCGTCCAGGTGCAGCGCGCTATCCAAACACTGCCGCATCGCTTGGATGTCAGCGAACGTCACGAACCCGAAACCCTTAGACCGACCCGAACGCTCACGCACGATGGCCGCATCCTCCAGAACTCCGTACTTCGCAAAGTGCGCCGCAAACCGCTCGTCCGTCGTATTATAATGGATATTTCGCACCATCAATCGCCTAGACGCTGGGCTCGAAACAGACGTCCGGTACACCAAGGTGCGAACACACGGCGACACTGCACTAGCGCTTATCAAGATATCAATCAACTGCTCCTTGCTCAACGGAGCGGCCAACTGCAAAATGTCCGACGCATTTGATGAAGACGCATTCAATGACGAAACCTTCAGTGATGATGAGGAGTTCGATGACGATGTGTTCAATGACGATGTGTTCAATGACGATGTGTTCAATGACGAGGACGCGTTCAGTGGCAAGGTGTTCAGCGACAAGGGGTTCAGTGGCAAGGTGTTCAGTGACAAAGTGTTCAAAGACATACTCAGCTTTATTCCATTCTCGCCATCCGGCCGCACGCTATCCAGCTTACTGCCGTCGTCCAGCTTGCCACTGTCCGTACTGCAGTTGCTACTAAAGGGACCGGGGTTCACCGTACTGGAGGTCGTGGTATCGAGCAGCTCCGGCGGAGGGGGAGGGGGCTGCCCCAGCCTGTGAGAATCTGGTGCCTCGAAACGCCGCTCATCGTCCAAAGGCCGCAGTAGCATATGTCCCGTGTGCGGAAAATCGCACCCAGAGCACACGATGCTCCCTCATTTAAACAGTGCTCCACCCAGACGATGCTCTTCCACATCTGGGACGGGAACAGCTAGGCAGCTGGGTAAAAACAGCTAGGCAGCTGGGTAGGAACAGCTAGGCAGCTGGGTGGGAACAGCTGGGTGGGAACAACTGGGCAACAGTACGGGCAAGAAGGACTGGTGGCAATATCGGCTGGCAGGGGGATGGTAGGGCAAAAGAAAAACATGGAGGCGCTGATAGCCCATAGTGCTCGGAAGTTCCTTTGTCTGAGGGACTACAGAAATCTGTGTGTGTCTTTGAGACTGTTTCCGGAAGATGTGGATCGTTACGTTTCATTGACTAGATTGCACAGTCAGGCGCAGGTGTGCGTGACTGAGCCGGCTGAGGAGGAGGAGTGGAGCCAAGTGCCGTCGGGCGCCTTCTTGTTGAACCGAACACACCTGGTGTTGCCATTGCCTTGGCGCCAGGTAAACGACTTGGATCCGGCGCTGTCGATAGTAGAAGACTTGTTCTGCGACCCGGAGGATTGTGGCGGGAATGGGGGAGTGCTGAATCTCCAGGGGGCATTGCTGAATCCCCCGGGAGGAGGGTTGAGCCCAGGAGCGTTGAGCCCACGGGTGCCCTTGGAAAGCATAACGATTATCTTGAAGCAAGTGACTTACCGCGCTCTCAAGGTGCTGAGGAGACTTTTGGAGTCCAACGCGTCCTCCGTACGCGTCATCACGATCACCTTTGGCGAAGTGACGGCTCATGAACCCTTGTCGTTTAACAGACCTGTGCGTAGTAAAGAGCCCCAAAGCGAGAATTTGGCTACAGCGAACAGACGGCCTCACATGGACTCACTGATATATCAAGGGGACGATCCCAGAATTGTGGCCTATGTCGGCACACAATATGTCGAAGCCCAGCACGATCGGGCAGACGAGAGGAGTGGTTGTCTGGATACGAAGGCAGACTGCTCGGACTTATGCTTGAATATGGAGGGATTGGTCTTTCCTCAACTAACCTCAATGCAGTTAGGTGTGCCCTTCAGCTGCAGGAATATCGAGGTCCCCGGTCTGTCGTCACTGAGGGTCTATTACTTGCCTGAAGAGAAGGTTGGTCGGTGGTGCAGTGAGATGGATCTATATCGGTCTCAGTCTGTTTGCGAACACCAAGTAGGGTCCTTGCAACACTTACTCTCAATCTGTGCTACAAGCATCGAGGATCTACAACTCTCAGGGTGCGTCCGATTACGCCAGGAAGCCAATATATTCGATAACCGATCTTTCTTTCCCCATCTCAAATCCCTTGACCTCGGCTGGACCTGCCCCGCGGAACTCCACTCGCTAGCCGAAGCGCTGAAAGCCAAAACCAGTGCTCCGGTTGCCGAGCTTCTGAGCATCCCATTTCAAACTCATGCTGCTCTCATGATGTCCGCGAAAATCTCGGACATTGAGATTAACACTACCAATGCAGTTGTTACCATCCCGCCCCGCCTGCCAAGTTTGAGTTCCTTGTTTTTCAATGGACCAGTTCGATCAGGACTCAGTAATCTACATTTAGAGATACATCAAAAGGTTATAAGCAGAAATGAGAATGTAACAAACACGTGCGGCGGTACAAGCACACACGTTTGCACATGTATAGAACAATCACAGACAGCCAATAAGGCAGTAAAGACAGCCCAGGGAACAGTACCTGAAATAGTGAGTTGTTTATTAGGCTTCTGGAATATGTTTGCAATATGCCTGTTACAGTGCGAGTCTGGAAAATCTATTGAATTTCCGTTTATCATTCCCTGACTGTTGTATTTTCGCTATTTATCGGAATGCTACTACTCGGCTCCATCATTTAATCTTGCGGAAAAGTTTTACCGCGATAGTTAGAGAAAGTACTGACTTCCCTAGCAGCTACCGCTACGGCCGCTTTCGCTGGGATCAGTTCTTAAGGTATTGCCATGTTTCGTCGAGCACGTACAATCGAATTCGATTGTCTAGAGTAATGCGAAGCAGACGACGGCTTGGTGAAGAAGACGAACTGCAATGGGAGGCACAAGAAACCCTCAATAGCGGCGAGGTGGTAACGCCGCCTGCGGTCGACCCGTCCATGAACGGCAGGGATCTCTTCGCGCTCGAGATGTGGCAGTTGCCTGCCCTGAGTGCAGGACAGTGTTCGGATACAGAGTGTGCCTACGCAGTCTGGAACCAGCTGACGAGCGACCAAAAAAGCCTTTATCATCGAATTGCCAAACTCTATGTACAACAAAGACAGGACCACTACTCGTTTGAGACGTACCGTCCGTGGTGGAAGCAGAAACCGCTCTGGAAAACCAGACTGCAACCGGAGGCCAGTATTATACGACCTTCGAAGTGCGGCAGAGAGACTCGGGACGCCAACACGCAAAGAGGTACCACACAGGGAGGTACCATACAGGGAGGTACCATACAGGGAGGTGCCACACAACTAGGCCCATCATAGCAACACAGGGAACACACTCAGGGAAAACAGCAGGGAAGACCGACAAGTAACCTGCGCCAGTAGTCGGGTAGTAGACTCCAAGCCCCCCCAAATCCGTCCGTGTAGCGGCTTCCTCTGTTGTTGGGCTGCCGTACAGCGGCTTCTCCTCCAACGGCCTCCCCCATAACGGTCTCGCCTACCAGAATAGAGCGGACTTGACCGGATCGAACCGACCGGATCGAACCAACCGGACTAGGAACTGGTCAGAAGCCGGGTGGCGAAGTGGAGCAGCTGGTAACTGAGGGACTGGAGAATGTCGCAGTCCAACAGGATGAGCGTCATTGGAGCGTTGTACGTTCTGCAGTTCCTGAAGATCGTAAAGATGTCGTTGCGCCACTCATCGAACGAGCTGTACTCGTTGTTTTTCAGTTTCTGCGCGGCCTTCAATAGCCACATCGGAGAATCAATTATTTTACTACAATAAATGTGCGTGCGTGTCTCTAGGGAAGGGGCATGAGGGGACAGGGGTATGAGGGGACAGGGGTATGAGGGGACAGGGACCATTTTTTGGTCCCTCATTCCCAGTCCTCAGGGTGGTTACTAGTAGTTCGGGTTTGCTTTAGCGTTGACGGGGTGGACGAACCAGTGGCCCGAGGGGTGTTCGATGAGACAGGAGACCATGCGTTTGGCGAGGGTCTTCCAGTCGATTTGGACTGGTAGGGGCCACTGCTTCTGGAATTTGGAGTAGGCCCAGGCAGTGATTTCGACGCGGTCGTAAGAGCTGATTGCGCGGACCGGAAGGCCTTGTCGAGCGAGGCGGCTGACCTGTTTGCTGCAGCTGGCAGCATTGGCCGTGGTGGCTGGGGAGAGGCAGTAATAGTTGGCGAGAATGAATTTTTGCAGTTTCACCAGCTCCTCTTGTTGGCCGGTCGCCGAAAAGTGTTGCATGTTCGCCCCCACGTCTTCGGAGCAGGTCTTTAGGGCCGGACTAACACCCATGCCGTACAGAAAGTAGACCACCTCACGCACGTAGTAGACCAACCGGTCGGCAATGGCGCAGAGCGAAGGTACTACGGCGTGTAGGTATTTGTACAATATTTCGTATACCTCCACCGTCACCGGCACAATCATAGGGATGTCCTTCGGAATTGCGTTCTTCGTCTTTCGCTTCCGTTTGGAAGTCTTGTGACCTTCCGCCGCGGGACCATCCAGGTGGTCCTCACCCACCATGTCCGGCGGCATGGGTATCGAATGCAATGGACTCCCCGATCCCGGAATAGACCCAGGCACGGATCCTGGCACCGAGCCAGGACTCGGCCCAGGAATTGACCCAGGAATTAGGACACTGCCTTCGGCCCCATTATACGGCGAGCTGCGATACGTAGAGCCCGGCATAAGTCGTCCAGAACGACCTCCTCCGTCGCCGAAACCGCCAGCCACGTCTCCCCCAAAGACTCCTTGGTCCGCACCCTCACGGTCCGTATCTCTTCTCGGTCCGGCTTGGCCAGTCCCGTCGTTGTCCATCCCGTCTTGGTCCATCCCATCTAAATTTGTCTCGGGCGGGTCCTCCACTCCCCTCTGGCGGACCGGGTTGGGTTGGTCTGCGAGAAATCCGTCGTCAAACCCCGCGGCAACCAGCTCTTGGTCCAAGTCCAGCACCATGCCGTCCTGCATATATACGTCGTCTACCCGCATACCCTCGGATACGCCCAAGTCGTCTAACATTCCCAAGTCGTCCGGCAGGCCGAGGTCGTCGCCAAAGTCGGTTGGGAGTCCTAGGTCGTCAATTCCGTCCAATTCAGTTCCAGTGTTCAGTTGGTCCGGGGGAGCGGAAAAATGTTCCCCAATCTCGTCAAACTCCTTCTCCATCAGGTCAGTCTCCCATTCTTGGCCCGTGACGGCGTCGCCGAGCTCCTGCATGAGCATATCGTCCATAGAGGTCGTGGTGGGGTCCAGCTGCGTGGTTTCTGGGAACCCGCCCTCGGGGTAATCGCCGGCCGGGTAGTCAGCTGCGGGGTAGTCGGCCGCTGGGTACCCCGCTTCCGGGTACCCAGGCCCTGGGAAGCCGCCGCCGAACTCGTCAAACTGGTCGAAGGATTCGTCAAATCCCGCCCCCTGGTTCGCCAGGTCATCCGCCGGCGAAGCGGCCGAGGCCTCGGCCAAAACACCCGACGGGTTGTCCAATGAGCCGTCTGTGGCGAGGTGGTTCTGATGGGTGTAGTCTTCCGACGGTTGTCCATGTGGCTGGAATTCGGGCACGATGACTTCGCGACGAAGCATCTCGTCGCCCACGTCGGGGCCCCCCATCGGGTCCGGAGAAAACTCCTTGGGGTGTCGGTCCTGTGGATGGCGGTCATGAGGATGGCGATCTTGAGGATGGCGATTGGTGGCGTGCGGTTTTTTCTTCTTCTTTTCCTTGGTGGCGGCGACAGCAGTGGCGACCGGGAGGTGGCCGGTGTCGAGGACCCAGGGGAGGAGGGAGAGTGGACAGTCGCGTGCGGCGTGTTGGAGGCACTCGAGGAAGGCGGCCCAGGAGGCGACGAGAAGGCCAGCGTCGTTGCTGAAGGGGAGGAGTATTTCGAGGGCGGTGAGGAGGCGAACACAGTGGAGGACGCCTAGGCCGAGACGGCGGACGGCTTCCTGAGTGACGGGGTTGTCGATCCATATGCAGCCGAGAGGTGTGTGTTCCACGATTAGATGGGTCAGGGCGAGGGGTGTGTGCGTCGGAAAGTCCATGACCCAAAGCGGCGGGATGAGACGGCCCTGCAGGATGAGGCTGAGCGTGCAGTGCATGGCCTTGGCCTGCACGGTGAAGTCGCTGTAGTTGAGCGAATTGCAGATCTGTTGCGAGACGTGCTGGATGGCCACGCCCCACTGGGACATGGGGTCCACGTGGTGCAGCGCCCGGTCACGGTAACGGCGCAGATACAGCCAGGAGTTCTTGTCCGTCGCCAGGTCGGGCAGCGGCAGCTCCGCCGCCAGACTAGCTGGCACGGGTCGGGAAACGGGCAGGTAGGAGAAGAGGGGGTCCAACGGCACCGAGCGCTCCAGCGCCTTGCATCTCGCCAGAATCTGGAAGGCAGGGATCCGGCTGAGTGCCGCCAGGTACGCCTTGGTCACTTCGCGATCACCCGTAGGCAGTTTCTTCTCCATTTCCGCACGCGTGTATACCGACAGAAAGATCTGGTGCGTCCGGCTGTCGCACCACGAGCGGATGTTGAAGAGCGCCGAGTTCTCAGGCGGCGCCGGAAACGTCAGGTTCGGCAACGAGGCAATCAGCTCGGCGACCAACATGTGCAGTGGCAGCGTTTCGTCAAGTGTGGCGGGTGCAAACGTTTCGCAACTGAACTGCGTTCCCAGCCGCACGTCCACGGGGAAGGGCCAGCGCGAGAGACAGTGGATGTAAAAGTCCCAGACGGAAGACGGCGTCTCGTTAACATTATTCCGTAGTTGACTGACAACAGTGTACAAGTCGCGCAGTTGCTCGAAAGCCAAAGAACTGTAGACCGGCGGCATGGGATCGTTATTGATGAGGCCGGGACACATACTTTCCTGAAAGAGGGGGAGCAGTCTCCCAACGATAACTTTCTCAACATGGTCGTTGGCAATTACACTCCCGACTGCGTTCGCAATGCCATGCACGCAGACCTTGCGCACATTTGGGTGTAGGCGGACGTTGAAGGCGGCTGAGACCAGAGTGTCGAAGGCGCTTACGTGCTCCGCGGCAAGCGCGGAGAGCGCCTTGGCTGCCTCCAGCTGCGCGCGCACACACGTGTCGCGCGCGAGTTGGTTCATCCACATCGCAAGACTCTGGAAGCGCTGCAGCCGCCCGATGAAAAAGGAGTCTTCCGAGGGCCGTATCCACAGCATGGGAGTGGCCCGGGCGTTCTGGCTGTCGCCTGAGTCGGTGGGGACCGGAGCGGGTTCCGCAGTGGGCTGCTTCGTTGTCGGCGCGAACTGATTGCGCACCGTGTCGCTGCAAGCGCTGGAAAGCAACAACAAATCTTCGTGACCGAAGGCCGTTCCGAGCAGTTTGCAGTTTTCGCCGTTAGCGAACACGCGCTGTGAAGGCACAGTAACGCCGAGGACACGCGGTAGCGTCATGCTTGTCTTCTTCGTCACGCTCTGGTCCCGCAGCGTGACGAAGGAGACGGCGTGGGCATTGGGCTTTATGGCGACAACGTCTTCGCAAACCGCCGCGTCTTCGTAGGTGCGCATCAGCAGCTTGGCTGGCCACACACAGCCGACGGTACCCGATTCGGGCAGTTTGGAGGTGAAAGGTAGCCGCAATAGGTCGGCGCGGAGGCTTTCTTTCTTCAGACTGTCCAGCCACACGTTGCAAACGGCGTGATCCTTACTTACGGGCGTCTTATGGTACTTAACTTTGGGGACAAATTCGGAAAGCGTCACGCACTGTTTCAGCGCGTGCCAACAAATCACATTTACAACCCACTCCGCCACGGCACCTCCCAGAGCCGCAACCTGCACACGATGCGCTGTGGGCGTACTGGCAACCAGCTGCTCCATGTTGCTGCTGTCTGAGGCCATGGCCGCGCGCTGTTCTGGTGTGAGCGCCGCCCAACTGGCCGTGGCTTGCTTGTGTAAGGAAGTGAAGAGCGTGCCGCGCCCTCCGTAGAGCGGGAGCGGTGCATTGCCCACGTAGCCGTAGCCGACGGCCAGTTTGTTGTCCTTGACAATCAACTCTACCGGGTTGCCCCGCATCGCTGCGACGTCGAAGCCAAGCTGGTCCAGGAACTGCGACACGTTCGAGCTCTGCAACAGCGCCTTACGCACCTCCGAACGCGCATCTCCCTCGTCACTTGGTCCGAGGTTCATCCACTGCGGGCCGTTCAGCAACGCCGTGATGATAGCAGGCACAGCTCCCACTGCTGGAAAGTAGTAACTAAACATGTTGTTGTCAATCAACTTGGGCGCAGACAACGCGTGCTCGTCCAACCGCAACTTCACCACCTCCAATTGCCCCGTCTTGCGCTGCAACTCGTACCATAGCGCCACAATGACCAAGCCGCAACCGACGCCGCCAACGTACGCGCGTTCGAATCCCTCCAGGTCCGACACGAATTCCTCCACGTCCAACGTCGGGTGCCCGCGGTACGGATGTAACTGCAATTGCTCCGGTACCAAGTTGTCATCCAACTCGCGCACATTCACCACCGGCTCCTCCGCCGTCGCAGGCGGCGGCTGATTTCCGCTCGGCGCCTCAGTGCTCTTGTGCAATCGCAATCGAATAAATTCGGACAAAACGCGAATCTTCAACCGTTCGAAAAACTTGTCCAGGTGCACCGTCACGTCCTTCGACTTATACTTCTTCACATACCCGAAAATAAAGTTCTTGAAGAAGTTCGCAGTTAGGAAGTTGCGTCCCACAGACAATGACACCACATGACACTCCAGCGCTACTAATAATAACTGACACTTGAGCTGATACACCGGGCTCAACGGGTATAACCTGCAACGAAAACGATCGACACGAACAGTCAAGGTGTGCCACGCAAGGTGTTTGGCCCGGTAGGTCTAGAGACCGGTAGGTCTAGAGACCGGTAGGTCTAGAGACCGGTAGATCTAGAGACCGGTAGGTCTAGAGACCGGTAGGTCTAGAGACCGGTAGGTCTAGAGACCGGTAGCTCTAGAGACCGATGGGTTAGGGTAGAGGGTAGTTTACACTGAATAATGAGATAGAGATTTACTGCAAGCCAGCGGGTACCGTTCCCAGCCGCGGTCGCAGAGTGTAATATACAAGTCTAAGGTTTTCTGTAGAATCATAGCGGACTCGACCTTGCCGAAGAGTTCCGCTGCTATGAGGTGTCGCAAATATTTACGCATGGCGACGACCAGCCACAGGTGTTGCTTGGCGGTCTGGTCGAGACCGGGCCAGTGCCAGAGGTGCAGGAGTCCCTCGACGATGTTAAGTTTCTTCAGTCGTGCCCGTTCCCCTAGCAGGTCGTGTCCGTGGAGCTCATCAACCGGC